TTTAATATATATATATATATATGTATATATATATATATATATATATGTATATATATACACATATATATTTTATATATAATATATGTATATTTTTAATATATATATATATATTTATAAAATGCATATATATATATATGTATATGTATGTATTTATATACATATATATATATATATATATATATATATATATATATATGTATATATATATATATATATATATATATATATATATATATATATATATATATATATATATATATATATATATATATATATATATATATATATAAACTTTATAGCGGCGATATTCTATTTCATGCATAAACATAATCTTCATCCCAGAAAATATATGCGCAGAGTGCATATTTTTCTTTAATAAATTTCTCCAATATTCAGGGCGGTAAACGAAAATAATATATAATATAAAATATATAAAATATACTGTTTAATTAATTGTGTGCGTCTATTCAACTATGAGTATCCATTAAAAATATATATATATATATTATGTTCTTGGTTCTTTTTGTTTTTATTTCAAAATATTTTCTTGGGTACCGATTTGTTCTATGCAAAATTGAGCTATCCGAGGTTTTACAAACGAGAGTATTACCATATATATATATATATATATATATATATATATGTATGTATATGAGCTATCAAAAACTTATAACGACAAACGTCATTCCATACCTACGTACCAATTATACATCACATCCACCCATGTATTCCTCCAAATTTTAAAAACTACTAAACCAAACTAAGGTATTATATATCACTTGATGTTAAAAACTTATTTATAACGTCTCCATCGATCAAACCATCCTCAAATCTGTGTATAATAATAATTCTATCCCTCCGCCATCCATCGAACCATTTATACTATAAAAATTACTACACGCATGCACAACCAAAGTCACATTCTATGGTCATAATGGCATCATTTATATAAACTAATGATGTTAGTATGGGAAATCTACTTATGTCCATATTTTTTATATATGTGTATATATCCCTATGTAGAAAATATGATATTTAAACAGGCCTGTAAACCTAATATATATGTATATATCGTAGACGATATTTTTATTTTATCCAAATAACATATAAAAATATATATATATATATACCACATTTGAAAAAAAAGATATGATGTTCTTAATTTTAACTTATAAAAATAAATAAATACCCATTTTAGATGTATATATATATAATATAGTATATATATTTATGTATATTATATAAAAATAAATATATTTATGAATATATTATATATATGTGAGAAAATATATGTATATATTTTAATATTTTAATATACATTTATATACCAGATGTCATCATCTCATGTATATATATGTAAAGAACTCATATAATGATAAATGACACTAATTATAATATATATATACATATATATAGACCACCAATGTATACTATATTCTATGTATAGTATATAATAATGATAGTGAAGATACATGTATGTATATTATATAAATATATCCTATATAAACAAAATGCACATTAACTACAAACAATATATATATTATATACATAAAAATATATATATAATCGACATATATAAATATATATATGTCTATATATATATATATATATATATAAATTATATATAAAAAAATGTGTTCATAAAAGATTACGACAGAAAAATAATTGCGATTAATATATTTTTATTTAAAGTTTTTAGAACGAACGAATAAGTTTTTTTTTTTTTTTTTTAATGAAATGTGTTCCTGATCAAACCAAACTCATAAATAATTACATTGGTCACACTACTACATGCCTATCCAGACGACTTACGTTACACCTATCCCACCACAGCTACATTAGAAATCATTTAAACACACACACACACACACACAAGACTCCATCCAGAAACCATCTAGAAAAAAAGCAAACATAACCTCAGCCACATATAAAAAAAAAGCCTTAATAATAAAAAAGAAAAAGCCAACACTTAATAATATTAACTACGAACATGGCCACAATGTGCTGATTGTGTTCGGAAAATAAAACATCCATATAAGTCTAGACACATACACACAACCCATAGATCGAGTTAAAAAGTAAAAATGAAATAATCCTTTATAATGGCTAGACGTATAGCCGAAACCGCTCTGAATTCCAGAACATTTGGATAGATTCTACACAGTCCAGAATAGAAAACGTTTGTTCGAACACAGGAAAAATTAAATAAAAAGCTTAACCGCAGTACCTCATCTCTCATCCCTAAGGAAACATGTATAAAAGAGGGATTGCTGCCTAAATACACAATTATATATATATATATATATAAAAGTGAACATAAAAGTCAATACTTAGAGGCGACAGGCTGTTTCATGCCTGATGATTGCCTCTAAATGTTGACTTTTATGTTCACTTTTATATATATTCACACGCTCTATCTCTGATATTGAGCACGTTATCCCATAAATATAGCGCATCTTAAGACTATATTCCTTCATATATGTGTGTGTGTGTGAGAGAGAGAGAGAGAGAGAGGGAGAAAGTAAAAAGGAACTCAAATTTAGTAATATATTTATCTTAGTTTGGCATAAGGTTATGTATATGCGCTACCCATTGAGGATCGAACTCATTACCTAAGTATTTGTCTCTTTTATACAATAGTTGCCCCTATGTCTGTGTGTGATAGAGAGAGAGAACGATTTACATTTCACTCACCGTAAACTTTCTGTGACTGCTATGTCCCAGACAGCAATGGTGAAGTATCACCTATGGTCTACCCTAGCATTGAACACACGGGTAAACTATAGCTAGGGTATAATAAAAAAAAAAAAAAATAAAATAAACAGGAAAGGAGATATTATGTGCAAGCGTTGTAAAGTGCAGCGAATAAAATAAATTTATAAAGGCGTGACGTTTTTTTTTTTTTATTTTCCCTTGTAATGTCGGTGTATGTACGCCTTTTCTTGTGGTGTGTTTATTAGAGTGTGTAGCGTGTCGTGTGGGCTCCACGTGTTTAAAATTGTCTATTTTGTTCGTTGGGTTTATAGTTTATTTTTCTTGTTTTGTTTTGTTTGTTTTTTTCTGTCTTTTTTTTTTTTTTCTCTTTTTTTTTTCCCGTTTTTTTTTTTTATGCGTCTTGTCATCATGGTAATTGTCGGCCGAGTAACCATGTGCATCTACCCGCAGAGAAAGACCAGAGTTTGGGTGGGGCGGTGCGGTTTCGGTTGGGAAATAAATGTGCATTCGGTCTGCCTCCACTATTATAGCAAAAAAAAAAAAAAAAACTTAAAAAGAAAAAAAAATCAAAGAAAAAAAAAATGGTGAGATCTGGGTGGATGGAGAGAGATTACCGACAGATCTAAAGTATGCATTGTTAAAACAGGCTAATATGCTTATTGCCAGAGACGGACACACAGACAGTTTCGAGGAAATCAATTCTACTCGCCCCAAAGCAAAGACATACGAAGTTTCACACGTACACTTCTTTCGTATTTAAAAAAAAGACAAAACCTTTAAACGTACTATCACATAGTCTTGTATGCACACATTTGCATGTAGATACATACACACATACATACATTATGTGTATGTGTCTGTGAAGAAAACGGCAAGAGGAAAAACTATTCTTTGCCGTCGCGTTTTGTCCTCTAAGTAACTTTATCAGAGCAATGTAGGATTTATTTTGTTGCACGTGTTTAAATACAAAAGGGTGTCATTGGTTTATCGTGGCTTTTAAATTTGGGAACGTTCATGAATGTTCGATTAAGAATAGTTTTACCTCTTGTCTTTTTAAACATATTGTTCCTTTACAAATATATACTATCTGAAAATATTTTTCGCACGCACAAACACAAACACACACATACGCACAAACACACACACACACACACACATACGCACAAACACAAACACACACATACGCACAAACACAAACACACACATACGCACAAACACAAACACACACATACACACAAACACAAACACAAACAAAACACACACATATATTTAAATTAAAACACACACACATGCAGTTGTAAACACAAACACACACATACACACAAACACAAACACAAACACACAAACACAAACACACAAACACAAACACACATACATCACAAACACATACACACAAACACAAACACACACAACACACAAACACAAACACACACATTTGCATAAAACACAAACACACACATACACACAAACACAAACACACATACATACGCATAAACACAAACACACACATACGCACAAACACAAACACACACATACACACAAACACAAACACAAACACACAAACACAAACACACAAACACAAACACACACATACGCACAAACACATACACACAAACACAAACACACACATACACACAAACACAAACACGCACATACGCATAAACACAAACACACACATACGCACAAACACAAACACACACATACGCATAAACACAAACACACACATACGCATAAACACAAACACACACATACACACAAACACAGAGATACATCAGGCGCATTTGTGTTTGTTCAACACCCACAGAGAGCCTACCTGTGGTTTATACAGCAACTATGCTGTGTAGACCTTAGTTAAAGTTCCTGGTAAAAAGCCTGTTATCTGGGGTATATTAAATATATGACAACCCCAAGGGGTTCCGTCTAATTTAATTTCAATCATTTGGCTTGGACCAATAAATGGTATGGTTTTTATATATCACTTTCCGAAGGTGCCGCAAGCTGGGATCGACCACTCCAGTCTGTTAACATATCGGCTTGAATGTTCGAGAAATCTTATTAAAGAAAAATATTCGCTCCCCGCCAGGATTCTAGGCTTCGTCCCCGTTGGCAGGAGAAAATCTTGTTAGATACGAGGTGATTTTTTAAAGACTCGGCCACGAAGTACGTCGATGATCAATCAAAGCTAAATAAGTACCTTATAAACGCAAATCTTTCTCAAACTTAGCATGAGAAAACTAACATTTATAAACGCACACTTTCATACAGTCTTGTATATACGCATTTCTATGCATGCATTCTATCTATCTATCTATCTATCTATCTATCTATCTATCTATCTAACATATCTATCTATCTCAGCCTGTTCATATCTATCTATCTATCTATCTATCTATCTATCTCCCTCTCTCTCTCTCTCTCTCTATATATATATATATATATATATATATATATATAATAAAAATTTATTTAAAAATATGCTTCCATCGCTTTAAAAGATTAAACACCGGATTATATGTCTAACTGTTTTCTTTTATTATAATATATATATATATATATATATATATATATATATATATATATATATAAGCAAATATATAAGCAAATATAACAATATAGAATCCGACAGATGAAAATTTTCATAAATAGACCGAAACATCCGACGTCGACTTTATATTAACATTTGGTACAGCATAATTGCATATTAAGATTTTTGTTTGTTTTTTTTCTGGATATTTTTTCTTTATATATATATATATATATATATATATATATATATATATATATATATATGTATGTATGTATGTATGTATTTATTTCAAACGTTATTTATTTTACAGTTTTAAATATTTAAATAGAACATTTCTAATGTATTTTGAATTAATACACATAATTGCATATAACTAGCTGGAATATATATATATGTCTGTTTGTATATATGTATATATATCAGGTATATTCGTCGAAACATGATTGCAATTTAGAGATCATGATGTAAAGATTAACATGTTTTTTTGATTTAATATCCTAATATATATATATATATATATATATATATATATATATATATAAATATAAATAATACAGATATTTTTATTGTTCAGCTTTTTTGTCTATTAAGTTTGTCTCAAAGTTGAATCCTAGCAAGAATATTTTGTATACAAAAATTCATTTTTAAATAAAATAGATAAATGCATCTATTTTAAAGACTGAAAATCCATTAATGTTTTTCAAATGAATATATATATATATATATATATATATATATATATTTAGTTACCCATAATTTTCTGATGCTTTATATATTCATGTGTGTGTGTGATCGGATGTTGTTTCCAAAGTTTCCATCCGATTTCGATTAAATTATTTTTGTTTGATATATAATTCTTCTGTGCCAGTTTTGAGTTTGCGAATAATTGCAACCACGAAGGTAAAACATCGATAAAAATGATTTTTTAAACTTTGCAAAAAAAAAATCAAAGGCCAAATGTCATGTCTATAAAAAAAAAAAACAGCGTACAATCAATTTAAGATTATTAGAATTATAAAAATATATATATATATATATTATAAATCAAAATTATTGAAATATTATTATTAATGACTATGTCCATGGAAGTTCCTTAAATAAAGATTGAGAATAATAAAAAGGCCTTTTTCAGCTCCCCACCATTCATATTTGTTCCTTTCGGAAATTTTTTTGCCTCAATGCACCCAAATGTCTTACTAATATATGATTTTCAGATATCATTTTTTTTAAATCTAAACTTGCAAGTTAATTTGACAGAAAAAAATGCCCAATAATAAAACACTTGGTAGAAATCGAGAAATAAATTTCTCATATATATATATATATATATAATATATATATATATATATATATATATATATATTAACTTTTTCTTAATACATATATATATATATATATATATATATATATGCTAAGAAATTTATCTATATATATATATATTATATATATATATATATATATATCTATATATATATATATATATATATAAATTTAGATAGATAATATTAAATGATAAGATATCGTTAATAATTGGTAAAAAAAAATTTGATATATGCAAATATATAAAATTACCCATTCGTATATATTTTGATGGACAACCGTTGAAAAGGGGAAAGAAACATTATGAACTTGAAATCTTGACTATAGATATTCAGCAGAAATTGTTAAAATATTTACAGAATAAAAGATATTTTTGTTTTAATCATCTATCCATATTTATAATAAAAAAAATTTCCTACCTGTAATTAGAAAAAGAATGAAATCCATTCATTCACGATTCCAAAGGAATTTTTATTTTTACCAAATGAAATGAAAAGTTTTTCATGATTTCTTCATATATATAATATATATATATATATATATATATAAATAGGTTTATAAATAGAGGACACATATATATTCAGACGAATTTTAATTTGTCAATCTACTTAAATTGAATATCCTAAATTCAACCGACAAGTTGTATTTCTTTAATTCTTTTTTTTTTTTTTTCGTATTTTATCAATTTTCGTCATAATTTTCTCACCCGTGAATCAAAACTATGGATAAAATGGCCAAATTTCATGCCATTTGTTTTGATTTCATTCCAGTAATGACGACTATTTCTTTCATTATCAAGAACTGGATGTTGTCTGTTTCGATTTAGATGTGCAACATTAAGAAGATGCTCATATCAAAAACTGGAAAAATACAAAAAGAAAACAAAAGGATTAAAAACACCAACACTTTGTCGTTTGAATTCAATAATAATTGTTTTATAATGAAGTTTTCATCGAGTAATATATATAAGTCAATTTCGCAAACTTGTATTTGCAAGTATTATTCAGTCTTATAAAAAATATTTAAAAGAAATAAAATCAATATGAGCGAGATAATTTATTGCCGAAAAAATCAACATAAAAAATTCATGTTTGTATATATTTATCATTTCGTCATATCATTGTATATATATATATATATATATATATATATATATATATATATATATATGTATAATATATATATATATATATATATATATATATATATATATATATATATTTATATATGTCCATAAAGTTCATGTGCACTTTAAAAAATTTATAAACTTTATTTGTATTTGCGATAGAAATAATCTGTAAAAAATGTTATAAAGTTTAATGTACCTAGTTTTAAGTATAGCTAAAATATCTAATGTGATTTCAGGCATTACTGTAAATCAGTTGGCAAATGTTTTCCGTGAACTGCAAAATCGTATTACCCTTTGTATTGCTAATGATGGAGGACATGTGAAACTTAAATAAAATTTCAATAAAACCTTAAAAAATATAGATTTATTTTTCTAATCCTTTTTTACAAATTATTTCTATCGAAAATACAAATAAAGTTATAAATTTTTAAATGCACACGGACTTTATGGATTTTTCCTATATATATATATATATATATATATATATATATATATATATATATATATATATATATATATATATATATATATATATTATTAAGAGTTATATTTTTATCTGATCACAGTTCCATCAGAACACATTTAAACACACACTCAGATTTACCTGACACTATTAGGAACATACTAGTAGAAAACACAAATATATTAACTGCATCCACTTGCAAAAAAAAGACTAAAAATAATGGAAGCCCTAATAATAAAAAAAAAAGCCAACTCTTAACAATATATAAACTATGAACAAAGCCACAATGTGCTAACCGTATTCGGAAACTAAAAACATCACTACCACACACTGAACATACACAGAATGCACACACTCTACTAAGCTGATAATTGAATCATCCTTGATAATGGCTAAAGGTATATAGAAAGCGCTCGGAAATACAGAACATTCGGACAGTTCTTACACACTTTTGTCCAGAAAAGAAAGCTCTTGTCAGAACACAAGAAAAAATTAAATAAAAAGCTCAACCGTAGTACCTTGTCTGTCGTTTTTAATGAAACATGCATAAAGGAAGGATTGCTATATAAATATATAAATATATATATATATATATATATATATATATATATATATATATATATATATATATATATATATGTGTGTGTGTGTTTTTATTTTTCAAAATCTTTGTTTTTCAAATTTATTGCTTATACACACACACACACACACACACATACACATATATATATATATATATATATATATATATATATATAAAACAGGAATAGAGGTTTAACATTTCTTTCCTGTTTAGGAAGTAACATTTCATATTATTTTAAAGTCTTCACATTCTTTTCAGTCCTTTTATTTTTAGTGCCAATTATCAAAAAAATGAAATTTATAATTAATTGATTTATATTTTAAAAAAATATATATATTAATATAAAATTATATATATATATATATATATATATATATATATATATATATATATATATATATATATATATATATTTTAATTATATTATTATATATTATTTTAAAAAATTCAATTAAATTCATATTGTTAAGTTTAATGGCAAATATATATATATATATATATATATAGATAGATAGATAGATAGATAGATAGATAAACATCCGTTGGTATATAATCCAAGTAAATCCTAATAATATAAAATATTAAAATTGATCGACAAAGATAGCTGAATATATTTATTATAACTGAGCATAGGAATTAGCTTATTCTAATAATCATTTAACCTTTCAAGTTAAAAAAAATTTCTTGTTAGGATTTTCCAACCGAGCAAGTTAATAAAAAAAAATAAAATGAAAGCCTAAAACAAATCTTTCTTTTGGCTTTGATTTTATTTTATTTTATTAGGCTTGACCAGTTTTTAAAATCCTTACAAGAAAATTTTTAACATGTAAGGTGAAATGGGACATTAAATGAGGTATTTTTTAAACTCCTATGCATGTCATTTATATATATATATATATATATATATATATATATATATATATATATATATATATATATATATATTTATAATGTGTGTGTGTGTGAATGTGTTTACTTTTAATTAATCGCCCTGTTTTCACTTATAAACCTTATAAGTTAAATGCATTCTTAATACCAACTTCCATTAAAATAATTAAGTTTTAACTTCAAGAATATTAATAATCATTTACAATTGCGAAACTGGTATTTTTTTATTTTATAGATTCTAAAATTTATTACAGGTTATAAATTCCTGCAATTCTAATCTTCAGTATCATAAGAAAGCCAAATAATGATTTAGTCGGCTAAAGTATCGTCTTTCTTCGCGTCAAGTAAACAAGGATTTGGGTTTTCTTGACTGAATACAGCAAGTGCGGGACGTCTGAATCTTCGACATTATTCATGCCTTTAAATTCTTTCAGTTCATGGTTCCATACCAACACAAACGAAGATCCACAGAGAAATAAACAACAACAAAAGAATCATATTAGAAATCACTTTGTTAATGTTTATACAATTAAATGTGGTAAAAAATTTTGATAGGAACAATTGAAAAATAAATACAGAATCATTTTTTCATTTACTACTGTTTTTATTATTCCTTCATATATAAATAAAACTCATTTCGCAACTCATTCTAAATATCTTCTCACATTTTTCCAACCAATTCCCGCGTGATTTTTATGAAAAAAATTTCTACGTCTCGATATTTATTCTGTTCCCTCTTTTATTCCATTCCGTCTTTTATTCCGTTCCCTCTTTATTCCGTTCCCTCTTTATTCCGTTCCCTCTTTATTCAGTTCCCTCTTTTATTCCGCTTACTCTTATATTACGTTCCCTCTTTTATTTCGCTTTTATTCCATTCCGTCTTTTATTCCGCAGCCTCTTTTATTCCATTCCGTCTTTTATTCCGCAGCCTCTTTTATTCCGTTCCCTCTTTTATTCCGTTCCCTCTTTTATTCCGTTCCGTCTTTTATTCCATTCCGTCTCAAATTCCGTTCCGTCTTTTATTCCGTTCCGTCTTTTATTCCATTCCGTCTTTTATTCCGTTCCCTCTTTTATTCCGTTCCGTCTTTTATTCCATTCCGTCTTTTATTCCGTTCCCTCTTTTATTCCGTTCCCTCTTTTATTCCGTTCCGTCTTTTATTCCATTCCGTCTTTTATTCCGTTCCCTCTTTTATTCCATTCCGTCTTTTATTCCGTTCCCTCTTTTATTCCATTCCGTCTTTTATTCCATTCCGTCTTTTATTCCGTTCCCTCTTTTATTCCGTTCCCTCTTTTATTCCGTTCCGTCTTTTATTCCATTCCGTCTTTTATTCTGTTCTCTCTTTTATCCCGTTTCCTCTTTTATTCCGCTCCCTTTTTTATTACGTTCCCTCTTTTATTATGTTCCCTCTTTTATTCCATTCCGTCTTTTATTCTGTTCCCTCTATTATTCTATTCTATCTTTTATTCCGCTCCCGCTTTTATTCCATTCCGTCTTTTATTCCATTCCGTCTTTTTTACGCAGCCTCTCTTATTACGTCACCTCTTTTATTCCATTCCGTCTTTTACTCTGCTCCCTCTTTTATTACGTTCCTTCTTTTATTCCATTCCGTCTTTTAATCCGTCCTCTCTTTTATTCTGTTCCCTCTTTTATTCCATTCTATCTTTTATTCCGCTCCCCCTTTTATTCCATTCCGTCTTAAATTCCATTCAGTCTTTTATTCCGTTCCTTCTTTTATTCCATTCCGTCTTTTATTCCATTCCGCCTCAAATTCCGCTCCGTCTTTTATTCCGTTCTCTTCTTTTATTCCATTCCGTCTTTTATTCCGTTCCTTCTTTTATTCAATTCCGTCTTTTATTCCGCTGCCCCTTTTATTCCGTTTCCTCTATTATTCCGTTCCCTCTTTTATTCCATTCCTTCTTTTATTCCGCTCCCACTTTTATTTACAGAGTCGAGAATTTTTGTGCGTGCCTAAGTTTATTTATTGCTCTAGAGTCAATATTTTAATAATGTAAAGGATGCAAGTCAACTCGAAAGACGTACATAGTTTGAAAGTCTACCTTTGATTAAAATAAAGCAAGTAAGAATGTTGTTGATTTGCAATAGTATTTTAATATTCACTTAACATTGTCGCTAGAATAGCATGGGCTTCATTGAAGTAAACAAGATGCGGGAAAAGGCAGTGCGAACGTGTGTGAAAGTTGTATTAAATTAATTAATAGATGTATTAATTGTATTAAATTCATCGTACACTGTCCATCAGTTTAATATTTTATTGCATATTCGGTCCAAAGTTCTCGAACAGAGAATGAAAGAACTTGAACTTTGGACAGTTTATCCATGATTTTGATCCATATGTGCATAAACCTGTTCGAATACTGGAAAATTACATGGAAAAAAATCAAAAGACACACCTTATATATATATATATATATATATATATATATATATATATATATATATTTGCGCTGAAAAAAAAATTTTTGTTGCTTCAAGTCGCTTCTTCATTTTTGAGGAGATTGTCCAGTATTCACTGCCGTATAGAAGGACAGGTATCACGTAACAAATAGAACGTATATATATATATATATATATATATATATATATAAAGAGAGAGAGAGAGAGAGAGAGGGAGAGATAGACAGACAGACAGAGAGAGAGAGAGAGATAGACAGACAGATAGACAGAGAGAGAGACAGACAGACAGAGACTGAGACTAATTCGTTACCCCTTCGTCACCGAGGCCTGTTGGTACAGTTGGTATGGCGTTTGCTCCTATCAAAACTGTTCGGTTTCAATTCTCGGTAGTGGATGCGCACGGCTGATGAGTCCCAGATATAGGACGAAATGGTCGTCCAGTGCTTTCTGTTGAGGTTTCTTCTAGACTCGATGAATTGCTTAATTATGGTTATTTGAAGTCTTCCTAATTATATATATATATATATATATACCGGGTGTAACAGCATATACTATCCATCTTATCAAATGTTTAATATCTAAAAAAAAAACACTAAGCAAATGGCGTTCCTTTTTTTTTAGATAAGACTTTTAGCCATCTTGACACCATTTGTCGCAAGGATCACTTTCACTTATTCAACTAAAAAGACATCAACTTAAAATCGTTTTGTGTCAGCCCACTATGTCTGCCAAACTGAGCAATGGTGAGAGGAAAAAATCATTCAGGCCTTCAGTAATGGTACCAACATTCATACTCTGACTTCCACCTTCAAAGTCCATAATAAGAATAAAGTTTTAAAAAGAGGGAACTGTCACAACAGGAATAGGGATCATCATTTCAACTTAGAACGTACACACACACACACACACACACACACACACATATATATATATATATATATATATATATATATATATATATATATATATTATTTGAATAAAAACAGACCACGTTAAGATTCCATGTAATAAGCTATTTCACCATAACCCCTTTAACAGGGTTCTGAATCATCAGACTTTACTTCCAAAAGCTGAAATGAAAAATGAAAAGAAATTCAGACGTTTTTGACGGACCTCATCAAATATACGTAAAATTAACGAAGTGAGGAAGTGAGGTGGGAGATAGGATATGAGTGTGTCATATGTATCATTTCAATTTCCTATTTTTAACCCCAGTGTGTCGGCTAGATGTTGCTCAAATTTAACGCGTCTCGTCTCTAGATATAAGACCGACATTAAAGGAAGAAGCTACAACAACCCCAATCGATTACACGACAGGTTTTTATTCAAACATATCTGCCCTGAATTTTACATTGAGCTCTCTGGATATCATCCTGCTCGGGTCTACCCATACGGATTACCTAAGTTTGATAAACTAAATATATATATATATATATATATATATATATATATATATATATATATATGACACAATTAAGAATTGCAAATATCATAAGTCATATGAAACATAATACTCCTACAGAAGGTAATGAAGGAAATCGAGGTGAAAGGATAAAATCGCAAGAAGACAGAATGCATTGTTGTTAGCGAAAGGAGGAGCCCAAAATACAAATTACAAATTGGAGATACCAAAATCAAACAAGTACAAAAATTTAGATATCTGGGAAGTGTTTTAACAGAGGACAGAATGTTCGAAACTAAAATCCGAAGAGGCATTTGTATAGACAAAGATGCCTTCCAAAAGCTAAGCAAAGTAATAAGAAAAAGAAGAAAAAAAACTTACTCTTACGGGATATATGTCCTCCTATATGGTAGTGATTGCTGGACAATCTCCTCAAAGATGAAGAAGAGTCTTGAAGCACCAAAAATGTCGTTCTACAGAAGGATGTTGAGGATACCATAGACCGAACATATGACCAACAACGAAGTTCTAGAGAATATGGAAACAAAAAAGAACACTTATAGTTAACACCAGGAAGAGGTATTTGAAATTCCTAGGACACATAATGAGGAAAGAGGGCTTGGAAAATTTGATACTCACAGGACAGATTGAAGGCAAGAGAAACAGAGGAAAACAACGCGTAACCTACTTAGTAAGCCTTAGTAAAATTGATGGTGGAACAAGGTTTAGGTGAGATAATTGAAAGATAAAATTTATTAAGCGATACAAAGGATAGGAAGTTGTGGAGAGCCGTGATCGCAGCACAGAAAGCAGAAGTATCCGTTCAAACTTAAATAAAAATAAATGTCAGTATACCGAAAGAACATTTTAATGCTAAACACCTGGACATTTAAATTTTTTTTTTTTTATAAAAAAGATCTTTTACTTTTAATTTTTTTTAATACTGCTTCTTTTTTTTCTTTTTTTTTTTTTTTGTTCCATAAAAAAACAAAAGAGAGGACTGACAGAAAGGTTTCATCTACAAAATATGAATAGGTCGCACTGCATTGGTAAATATCTTTTATGAAAAAAAAAAGCAGCTTTAAGTGTTTCAAAGAAGAACCTTTTCAAACTTTATCCACTTAAATAACGTTAGCTGACTCGTTCATGTCTGGTGAGGTCAACTGCGCGCGAGCGCTCACGCCCGCACGTTTACAGGTGATTATCCCCTCATCGTGTCACGTAAACGTGGGGCGGACGACCTCGCATACCCCTTTATCGACCCACCTGTCGACTGTATTTCCATTTTGGGTCTCTGTACATGCACGTACATAGACATTTATGGCGATTTTCTAAGCGTAGCTAAGATGTGGCACAAGGTCGGAAGTATGGGGCACCCAGTGAGGATCAAACTCACTACTCAGTTTTAACTGATCTATCGAGACTCGCTTGTTAACCATTACACCCCGTCGAAGTGAGTAACGGATACACATATATGGTGGTTTTCTAAGCCTGGCTTAGATGTGGCACAAGGCCGAAAGTATGGGGCACCCAGTGAGGATCGCAATCATTACGCATTCGTAATTGATCTAGCGAGACAAGCTTGCTAAAGATGACAACACGCCGGGGCCCCGAAATTATGTTCTAAGCGTAGCTTAGTTTTGCCATAAGGCCGAAAGTGTGGGGCACTCAGTGAGGATCGAACTCACTACTTATTAGTAATTGATCTAGCGAGTCGAGCTTAGTGACCATCACACAACGTCGAAGTGATCAACGAATATACATATAGGTATGTCGTAAGGTACAAGGCTAGTAAAGATGAGCATGTAAAAATGATGTTGGTGCTGAATAAAGCATTCGTACTAGATTGAAGTGTATAGACCCCATAAATAATAAAGTCCTTGATAAATAATTTTACCGAATTGTGATTTGTTGTGAAGAATGCGCAAATGCATTTCTGAAAAGAGTACCAACCTCCTTCCCTGTATCGCTTCAGTAAGTACTGAAGTAAGTACCCCCTCCCTATGTTCTGACTTTAGAAGAGCTAGATCAGGACAAAAATGGAGTATTACTGCCATATCTGGGCAGGAGCTTCCCTTTATTCAGCTGAAAAACCGTCTTCGCCGGCTCCGCAGATAATGAATTGTCTCCACCCTGCAGTTCTTTTTCCACAGACGAAAAGTAGCAAGCCTTTCGCTACCCCATCGCTATTTCTAAGTAAAATGTTCTTACGGGCTGCATTCCTTAGCTACATCAACTCTAACCCTCCCAGTTAAGACCCGCCACACCGACTACACTGAAGCGAAAAACGCTTGATCCCTTCGTACTCCATTGGCGAGAAGTATGTTTCACACGAACAGCTTCTTCCCACGAACCTCTACTTTATGGAACTTAGTCTCAAGAGGATACTTTCAAGACTACAGAACTACCTCTAATCTGCTGCTGTTCCCAGATCCACCCAGACCTGGGGTGATAGCACATGCTAGGGTCCCAGCTATGGGCAAATACTGAACCCCTAAGCAAAAATCGACAGTACATTTTTATAATAAAACTAACCGAATTACCCACGCCTTGTTGCGTGTCACACATTTTTTTGTAAGAAAATTATGATTAATTTTAATTCATTGTTATAATTCGTGGAGAAAAATGATGCATTTGAATATTACTCAATGATCTTGCCGATGTGACCTCCATCTTCTGGATTTCTCCTATATTTTAGATAGGAGTCATTCCTTTATTCAAATTTAATTTAAATCAAAAGGGGGAAAAAACTTCAGTGGGGTAGGGTTCATGTAAAAACAGCTTGACCTGACCTCTTTGATATGTATTTGATGCAATATTGATTGAATGAATTGATGAGCAGATTTCAACATTGATATGACAGTTAAATTGTCGCAACAAACATGTATTGTAAGGCATTACCCACTGATTGGTGATATCTTGCTTAACTTGACGTCCATTTTGTCGCATTTTGATCTTGCCGATGTAACCTCCAATTCCTGGCTTTCTCCTTCTATATTTTAGATAGGAGTCATTCCCTTGTTCAAATTTAAATTTAATTTAAATCAAAGAGAAAAAATTTCAGTAAAGGGTTTGTGCCAAAACTTCCACACCCCGGGTACCCACTTTGATCAAAATTAAATGAACTTATCCAAGTATCCTCGAAGTCATTCCCTTGTTCAAATTTAATTTACATCAAACGGGAAAA